CGCATTATTCTGCAAACATTGCGCAGATGATACCAGTTGTAAAACCGCATTGCCCGTCGCCGTAACATGCAGGGGGGAGGGCAAAAAAGACACTTTTCTTCCTCGACTTTCAAGGCGATATAAGTTACACTTTATTAAATTCTGATTGACATTTCCACCACCATATTCAACAACACATTGTACACTATCACGATACTCCGCCACAGCCTTCTGGACGAACGCCATCGAGAGATTCTGCCACGCGACCGTGATTCGGTGCCTGAGTTCAGCGAGGTCGTTGATTTCTCCGCCACTGTAGACCACCCTGTTGAGCTCCTTCCGAACCCGGTAATCGAGGGAGTTTAGGTCAGACACACTTAGATATTCCGTCTTCTTCAGGTACTCAACGCCCTTCCATTCCAAGTAGGCAAGAGTTTTCCCAACGCCCTTTGATTCCATGTGGTGTCACCCAATCCTGTAGCAGTACAAAGTTTCCAAGAAGGGGTATCTTTCGACATCTTGGGTATCTTCCGCCCTGGTACTCGTATCCACGTCTTCTGTCTGGGCTGCGAAAACTTTGCTGATATGTGACTCGGCCGAAATGTCTTTTTTTGGCCTCCCCTGTAGATCTCTCGCAACATCCCGCGAATCGCGTGTTCTACAATGTCGCTAGCTGTCTCCGTCTTGTCCATATAGACACTCTCGATTTCTTGGACTATAATACATCGCTCATTGTTAAGGTTGACGGGTTTTGGGTAACTTGTATACTTTGCGATATGTGTCATTTTTCTGACAAATCCCTTCCTAGTTTTCCTTCGTGTTCGTTTTACTCAGACTCGTACTTTGAGCACCCACACCCTTAATTCACCACAACTTTACTTAGGATAAGTTATGAAATAAACTCTTGAAACTCCAAGCGACAGAGCCATCCGGACGAGTTATCACGTCTGATTACACCCTAGACATGAACTTTATGTATACTCTTTTGTGACGAATCTGGGTGACAACCTAGTTGAGGTTAGCCACTCGAAAACGCCTAGCCGTCCACTCCTACTTGCCAAGGCTTGGGCTCATGGCTAGACCTATCGGGACGGGCCACCTCACCAGAACCACAGGCGTAGGTGACCACGCCTGCCGCGGGCTACTTATCAGAGAATTTCTATGCAACTCTGGTCGCCTGTGTTGCAAGTATTGGAAAGTACACAGCACTGCCGCCGTGCAGCTCAGCTCATTTACATTTGCATTGGAATTGGATACTCAGACACTTGTAGCGGGAGGGGGGGGGGGACAGTTCGCAATGGGGCCGCACCACGATTGTTTTCTGCTCGTCTGCATCTTGACAACGAAATCACGTACACTGACTTTTGATGACACCAGTGAGGATGCAGACAAACAGAGAATTATTGTGACCTGAACATTCCCCCCACAAAACACATCACTAAAAAGGATTCCTTGGCGAGAATGATCACTGCAAAATAGACATGTCCTTATCTCTAACTTGACAATACAAAGACTATACTTTGCCTCAGGCTCTGTACACTGAACAACGAGCGAGTACCAATATTTATTAAAAGCCAACAAATACAGCGCACAGGCGCATACGAGGTACAACGGTTATTAAAATTACTCGACACATATGTACAAAAAAAGGGCTGATCACCTCACTACGATCAAATTCATTTCAGATATCTCAAAAGGACCAGCCCTTTTTTGTACATATGTGTCGAGTAATTTTAATAACCGTTGTACCTCGTATGCGCCTGTGCGCTGTATTTGTTGGCTTTTAATAAATATTGGTACTCGCTCGTTGTTCAGTGTACAGAGCCTGAGGCAAAGTATAGTCTTTGTATTGTCAAGTTAGAGATCAGGACATGTCTGTTTTACTGTGATCATTTTCGCCAAG